TAGTGACGCTAGCATTTGTCTTTTAACTTTTCCTTGACAACGACTCCTTACTGGCTTGCTGTCAATGTTAAAACAGGTGTTCAACGAGGTTTAATTTATTAGAGCAGTACGAGTTAGTTATTGGTCGAGTTTCAACAAACCAACTTCTGTTTGAACTTTAAGTTCCCATGATTAGGGAGAAACTTCTGGTTTTTTTTTTTTTAATTTAATATATGTTCCTTAGATTTTGTTTTTCGTTTTTTTTAGGTGGCCGAACTTTTTTTATTAAAAAAAACAAAATTTCAAGCCCAAAGTGATTACTCATTAGTCATTAGGGGTTAATTTATGCTCCTTCCTCGAGACGAGATCGTTGAAAGAGATGTAAATTAACTCATTTGTCCTAAACTCCTACATATATATATAATTAAGACTAACATTTTTGTCCTAAACCATTCGATTTATTCTTATATAATTTGTTAAGTTTTTAATTTATTTTTATATTTTTAATTATGTCTATTATGTTTTTGTATCATATTTAATTCTTTAATATATTCTTTTATTAAGTTTTTTATCTACATTTTTTATTCTAAAACGACCATTTAGCTATATACAAATATATCTTTTATTTTTTTTGAAAAAAAAATAACATCTTATGTTTTAAAAACTTTATTGGTTAAGTAACCTTGAAATTTTTTTATTTCTAGTTGGAAAGTATATAAACTTTCCAAAGTTACAAGAATTTTTTGTGATTTATTACTATGAATAATAAATCATGAGATTTGTTAGAGCAATTAAAGAGAGTGACAAGAACAATTAAAGAAATTGATATGAGAAATTTAAGAAATTGTCTGATTTATTTTGTAATAATATGTTTGATTTATTTCTCATTTTTAATGTATTATCTATTATAAATATGAGTCATTTGTAATCTCTTTATATATCAATCAAAAATAATATAATATATAGTTTTTTGTCACTTTTGTGTCTTTACAGTAGGTTATCACAGTCAAATTAGCAGGTTATCATAGTCAAATTACGTTAATTCATTTGTCTTTAATCATCTATTCATTTTCTACTACTCAAAATTTAAGATTTCTTAAACATTTTAAGCATTTTTTCTATTATATTCTCATATAACTCACGAACGATTTTAAAATGAAAATATAATTTTATCAATTTGAGTGAAAATACTTAATTGAAAGATATATTAAAAAAATTAGATACTATTTAAGAATATAATAAATATAATTAAAAAATATAAAGACATATTTTAGACTTGCTTAATTATATAATGATAAATAATACTATTTATCCAAATTTAACCATCTCAAATTATCTGTCTTAGTCTAGCTAATAGTTCGTTGAGTTTTTCAATCAACTCAAAAAGAAAATACTAGTCATAAACTGGCTAAGGAGTCATAAAGGAATTTTTTTGGGGTTTCTTTTTTCAGCTGATTGAAGGATTATTGGGTCATAAATTAGATAATATTCATAGACTTTCTGATTCTACAAATTTCTCCAATTTCTGGTATGAGTTGAATTTGATTTTAGATCACTTATATTATCATCACAATGTTTTTGATATTAAGTTTCTTGATGCTTTTGAAGGATAAGAAGGCAATAACATGTTCTAGAGCAACTAATTAAAGGCAAAAGAAAAAGGAAAGGATGTTAAAGATCACTGGGATAAAGGAGGCAAACATAGCTCAATTTGAAGAGTCATAAGTAGAACATATGCCGTTTGTTAAAGCGAAGGAAGAGCACATGAATGATGCTGATCATTTTATTAGTTGAAAGGAACTTTTTCGTATTCTCCACACGTATCATCATGCAACATAATATGAATATTGTTCTCGGGATTAAAAAAAAAAAATGAATTAATGTCTCAAACTGTTGTAGAGTAATTTTTTAGTTTATTTTTACATTTTTAATTGAATAATTCAATTTATATTTGAATATATGTTATATTTTTATTCTATCATTCTAATAAGATTTTTAGACTGAACCATTTAAATTAATCATGTGATTTGGAAATAAAATTTTTTTTCTCACTTGAAAGAGAATTTTGAAAATAAAAAATAGTTATATACGAATCACATTACTAATTCCAACAGTTTAATTTACAAATCTTAATAGAATAATAAATTAAAAACTTAACTATTAAATGATAACATTCACTCAACTAAAGATGTAAAAACAAATAGAAAAAATATCTAATTATATAAAGACAAATTGAACCAAAAAAAAAAAAGATAAACTCCCTCCTAATTTGTGTGTGTGTGTATATATAAAAGATGCTATCATACGTCCTTCTACTGAAGCCAGCCAGCCTAGAGCTATCAATCATATGTTAGTTTATTATCTCAACCTGCATACATTTTTTCCACATAATACCTTCCTTAAGTGATTAGTTCACTTAATTAAGCTTGAGGTGCATCATGATTTTCATTTTATCAAAAAATATCATCACATGTAAACAAGATCCTAGCTTGGATCCACTTTACTGGATTAAGGGGGTCAGCATTCACTGCTTAAAATCTGAAGTTAAAAGAATTTCATAAAGGTGAAACTGCTAGGGGATCCTAAAATGTTCCAAATATGCATCTATCTACTGAAAAATAGACATAAAGAGATGGAAATGATGCATTAAATCTAGAAAAAACATAAACAAACTTAACATGCAGCACTTGGCATTCGTTTCCCTTGAGAAATAAAGTAATGCAAGTAGGTTAAGTTGAATATTAAATGCTAGCTGATCATGAGGACCATTCTATTCTGAGAAGAGAAATAATTTGCATTTTAACTGCAAGATGGGAAGCAATATTGCATAGAAACTGTGCAAAAATGTCGATGAGCACATAATATTATGGAGAAAATATCTTCATTATTATGATCAACAGTCAAGGAGCAGGCATTTATACTATGTAGATATACTGTAAAAAAGATGAAAACAAGGACGGTTTAATTCCTAAATATAGCTAAATTCTATAATGACTGGAGATTCCTTATGAGCCATTAATTAGATCAGCACTGCGTTGCTAGTTGCCACTTTTGATGCACTCGTACGAGTATCAATAAAGACAGAAGCAGCAACTGATCAATTTGTGTGAACAATGAAACAGAGATCTAATTGTCTTGTATCTGTCATTGACTGTCAAAAAGACATTTATACAAAGAAGTGTCCAACATATCAAGAACTAATTACTACATTATAGGATCTGTAGCTATAAGTTAGGTATTACAATAAGAAAGTGAATATATACAGATCATGTACACGTAATATGCTAGTTTGATTTCCTAACACTCCCCCTCAAGTTGGAGAGTGGATATCCTGCACTCCCAACTTGCGAACCATAGGAACAAAAACTTTTTTCCTTAAGGGCTTAGTGAAAACGTCTACTAGCTGATGTGTAGAGCTTACATATCTGGTAGTTACAGAACCATCTTGGACCTTGTCTCTGATGTAATGACAATCCATTTCAATGTGCCTTGTTCGTTCATGGAAAACTGGGTTGGCTGCAATGTGTAGGGCAGCTTTGTTGTCGCAATATAGCAAGGCAGAGTCATGATGCAAAACTCCTAAGTCCCTTAACAAATATCGCAGCCATGTCAACTCACAGCAGGCTCCTGTCATTGCACGGTATTCTGCCTCCGCATATGAAAGTGAAACTGTTTTCTGTCGCTTCGACCTCCAAGAGATCAATGAATGTCTAAGAAAGACACAGTAACCCATAGTAGATCTTCTAGTGAGTGGGCAACCAGCCCAATCTGAGTCACAGTAGGCCCTCAACTTGAAATCACTATTCGAGGAGAAGAACAAGCCTTGACCAGGTGCACCTTTTAGATATCGAACAACCCGCAGGGCTACCTCCATGTGAAGTTTGTAAGGTTAATGCATAAATCTACTCAGTACATACACAGCATATGTTATATCTGGCCTTGAAACAGTCAAGTAAATCAATTTGCCCACTAGTCTTCTATACCGACCTGTATCTTTGAGCAAGTCACTCTTGTTTGATAATTTCAAGCCTCGTTCCATAGGAGTATCAATGGGAGTTGCTCCCAACAATCCTGCATCCTCAATGATTTCTAACGCATACTTGCGTTGGGAAATAAAAATACCACTCTTAGAAGCAGCAACCTCAATTCCAAGAAAGTATTTCAAATCACCAAGATCTTTGATATGAAAATGACTATGCAGAAAAGTTTTTGTTGCAGCAATACTAACAGAATCATTTCCAGTGATCAAGATGTCATCGACATATATCAAAAGAGCAGTAAAAGACTTGCCTTGTGTTATGGTGAACAGAGAATAATCAGCTCGAGATTGCACAAAACCAGCTGAGCAAATGGCTTTTGAGAACTTGGTGAACCATTGGCGAGATGCCTATTTCAATCCGTATAGTGACTTATGAAGGCGACACACCAAGTGTTCCTCCTCCTGTCGCCGAAGACCTGACGGTGGAGACATGTATATCTCTTCAGTCAAGTCACCATGAACAAAGGCGTTGTTGACGTCCATTTGATGAAGAGACCAGCCGTGAGCTGCAGCCAATGCATGCAAATAGCGAACAGAGATGATCTTGGCAGTGGGGGAAAATGTATTTTGATAATCAACACCTTCTAGCTGAGTGAAGCCCTTTGCAACCAATCGAGCCTTGTACCGCTCGATAGACCCATCAGAACGGTGTTTAAGCTTATGCACCCATCGACAACCAATGAGGGTTTTACCTGGTGGCAGTGAAGTGAGCGACCAGGTGCCATTAGCTTGAAGAGCTTGCAATTCAGACTGCATTGCGGCTTGCCACTCAAGGTGAGTGGCAGCTTCTGAATAGGAACTGGGTTCTGTGACAGTGCTGATTGTAGCAACAAAAGACAATTATGCGAGTGTATATCTATGATAGGAAAGATAATTGGCCTTGGGATAGCGAGTACCTCTGGTTCGACCTGGCGTTAAGAGGGTTGATTGGTTGGAGGAGACAGCGGAGTAAATATAATCATTGAGCTTGACTGGTGGACTGATGTGGCGGTTGGAGCGACAAAGAGGAATGGGTTCAGATGTGAGGTGGGGTGCGGGTTCAGATGGGAGGTTGGGTGCGGATTCAGGTGGGGAGATAGATGACTGTAGGGAAGGTGGTGGATTGTCAGAGAGGATGGGATGGGATGGGTCGCCATGATGGAGCGTGGTAGAAGGCTTGGTGCGGCGTGAGTATGTGCGGAGGATGGCTGGGCAGGGAGATGGTGGATTAGGTTGGGTGGTGGGTGAGGAAGGAAGAAGGGCCGTGGGGTTAATAGGTTGGGCTCGAAAGAATGAGGAGGACTAGGAGGGGATGGATTAAGCTCAGAGGAATAATAAATGTCTGGGGCTATGAGGGGAATTGGGTCGGAATTAGTGTTGGAAGCAGAAAAAAAGTGATTAGGCTGGGTAGATGCATAAGGGAAGACATTTTCATGAAATATGACATCTCGACTAGTGAAAACTTTTTTGTTGACAAGTTAAATAATTTGTATGCCTTTTGACCGACATGATAGCCAATAAAAATAGAGAGAATGAAACGATGGTCAAATTTGTGAGAAGTATGGGTATTGGTAGTATAGCCTAAACAACCAAAAACACGAAGATGAGAAAAGGAGGGTGGTTTGGAATAAAGAAGTGCAAAAGGAGTTTTAAAAGAAAGAACAGAAGAGGGAAGGCGATTGATGATGTGGACAGCAGTGAGAGCACTCTCCCCAAAATTGGGTGGGGAGGTGAGCTTGGAATCTTAAAGCTCGAGCTACTTGTAAGATGTGGCGATGCTTACGTTCCACAACTCCATTTTGTTGGGGGTGTAGACGCAAGAATGTTAAAAAATGATACCATTGTCTTGAAAAAAAGAACTAAGTGAAATAAATTCCCCTCCATTGTCACTTCAAAAAATCTTAACGTGGGACTCAAATTGAGTGACAACATAATTGAAAAAGCGTTTTAAAAATGATTGTGTTTCAGTTTTGTGTCGCATCAAGAAAATCCATGTGAAACGTGTATAATCATCAATAATGGTAAGAAAATAATAAGCACCAAAAAGAGAAGGGTGTCGGTAACGACCCCAAATGTCGCAATGAATTATTTCAAAAGGTTTTACAGAAGAAATGGTACTAGAATTAAAAGGTAAACGACTTTGTTTAGCTAAAGGACATATGGGGTAAATTTTATTGGGCTAAACTGAAAAATTTTAAAAATTCTTGGCAATGAAACTTAAACGAGAAGGTGATACATGGCCCAAATGATGATGCCAAAGATCGGTGGAAGATGTGGTGAGATTGCAGGCTGGTCGATTTGTGGGTGAAGATTTATTCATCGCTAGTGCCACCAAATAGTACAGTCCGTCTCGTTGTTTACCCAAACCAATCATCCTCCTCGTAGCCAGATCCTACAAAATACACCAATAAGGAAAAAAGGTGACCGAGCAATTCAGACTTCTTGTCAAACGACTAACTGACATCAAATCAACTTTGAATGTAGGTACACATAGCACATCATGTAATTTATAGATGGAATTCAGAGGCAATGATCCTTTTGCAACTATATCAGCTTTCTCTCCACTAGGCAACAATACAGAAGGCAATGAACAACTCTTATCTTTGCAGAAAAATAAAGTGGATGATGAAGAGATATGATCCGTTGCCCCGCTATCAATGATCCAATTGCAAGAAGCAACTTCAGACAAACCTGGTTGAGTTACAACATTCGTCTGAGATTTGGATTCTTCACTCTTGCTATCATGTTTGATGTCTAGAAGCGATAGCAGCTGTTTCAGTTGGTCCTCTGAGATCCCAATAACTTGTTTTCCATCTGCTTTAGAGAGGCCCGATACATGATTAATTACAGGTTTGTTATTGTTGATGAAACGTCTAGGGCCTGAATTATATTTGGCCTTTGGATGGTCCGTTGGGTACCCATGTAGCTCATAACAAGTTTGGGCCTAATAACCCGGTTCTCCACAGTAGGAACAATGAGGGCGTCCTCTTCCAGAGCCAAAACGACGCTTGTCTTGGTCAAATCGGTGTCCTCCACTGAAATTATCTAGTGTCTTCTCTTGCGATTTGTAATCCCGTGATCCGTAGGAACGATGGTCAAATTGTTTGGGCCTCCCTGTACCAATTAATGGAGCGGGTCTTCTGCCGTTGCTCCTAACAGCCATGGTGGCGCTGCCACTAGGATCACTTGCAACATGCGTTGAGCTCAGGAGACACTGCTTTTCTTCTTGAGAGACAAAGGAATATGCTTGACGAGTTGAGGGAAGGGGATTCATCAAGAGGATTTGTCCTCGAATAGCACTATAAGAATCGCTTAATCCCATTAGAAATTGCATCAATTTCTGTTGATCTTGTTGTGTCCCATGTATTACATTGCTGTAGGAAGCTAGTTCATCCCATAACCCCTTCAATTTAGTGTAGTAGGTAGAGACAGAGAGTTGTTCTTGTCGAAGACATGCGATATCTCGCTGAATCTCAAATATGCGAGGCGCATTGCTTTGAGAGAATCGCTCAGAGAGATCTTCCCAAACTTCATAAGCAGTAGAATAATAAATAACACTGTCTGAAATTTCTAGGTTGGGAGTGTTAATGATCCAGGAGTGAACCATATCATTACATCGAGACCATGCCATATATCCTTCAGGATCTGTTTCTTCTGAAGGAGCTTTGATTGAACCATTGACAAAACCCAACTTGTTCTTGGAGTTTAAGGCCAGAGTCATAGCCCTTCTCCAAGCAGAATAATTATCTCCATTCAAGGGTTTAGAGATCAAAATCAAGCTCGGATGATCTGAATGATGAGTGAAAATAGGGATTTGAGAGATTCACCTTTGAAAACTCTGCAGAGGCGTTGATGTCGGCTATTCCTTTGCCGTGTTTAGAAGGTGTTGGTGGTACTTCATCGTTGGCCATGATGACTGAGAGAAGAGAGGTGCTACACGAGAGATTAGAGTGTAACAATAGGCTCTGATACCATGTGAACAATGAAACAGAGATCTAATTGTATTGTATCCGTCATTGACTGTCAAAAAGACATTTATACAGAGAAGTGTCCTACATATCAGGAACTAATTACTACATTATAGGATCTGTAACTATAAGTTAGGCATTACAATAGGAAAGTGAATATATACAGATCATGTACACGTAATATGCTAGTTTGATTTCCTAACAATTTGCACTATCACAAGCCCATAGGAAATGAGAATCCGACATGATAGGCAATTGTTTGTCTATGAGGACATTCATGTCTAATGGAGAGGAAGAAGATCTCAATAGAAGAATTTTCTTGCTGCGAATGTGTACAGAATGTCTGAACCAAAATCAAAGCTCCAATCTAATTATTGTTAATAATGCATTAAATCCAGGGGAAAAAAAATTAACTTAACATGGAGAACTTGGCATTCTTTTCCCTTGAGAAATAAAGTGATGCAAGTAGGTTAGGTTGATTATTAATTGCTAGCTGATCATGAGGACCATTCTATTCTGAGGAAATAAATTTATCAGAGTCTTATTGTCTATTCCATGTATCAATTGTTATTCCATTCTCGGTTATTTTTTGAATTCCAAAGGAAAAATATATTTTAATTACCATTTGTTTGACAAATCTATTGGGTTTGACTTTTAATTTAATTAGAAGCACAAAATCTTCAACAATACTCACAAATTTAACTGGAAATTGGATTTATAATCAAAACAACTTAACACATTTATTCGATTTTCATCTGTATACATTGCTCATAGACAAGCGAGACAAATATATATATATATGCTGATCCAATCGTATAAAAATAATACACAAATCACACTCAAATCAACCTATAATATCATCTGGGTAACACCTTATTGATTTAAATAACTGATACAGCACATACTAGTACTCAGACCAGCCGGCTACTGAAATCTTGGTTGGTGCCATTAATTATTCCCTTATTGTTGTTTGCTAATACCAATGGCCACACACATGTATATTTTTCGTTTCCTTTCTTTTCCCTTACTAAAGGGTTAATCAATAATAAGGTGGAGTTGTTGGAGCTGGGGCGTATGTGTATGTGACTGGTTCAGCTGGACCTGGAGCATAAGTGTACTTCACTGGGTGGTCTGGTCCTGGTGCAACATAACCAGAGCTTTTGATATCAGCCATCAATCCTCTTCTGACATTTCCTTCTTGCGCTTTACATAATTTGGGAAGAAAAAGACCTGCCAAAATACAGGGAAAAAAAAAGATTGTGAGGGACGGATATGCACTAATAATTACTTGACTGCAATTATCAGTTTAATGAATGGTGAACAAGTTTATCAGTTAATTACCTTCAGCGGCAGCGAGGTTGAAGTATAGATCGACAACGTTAGGGCAGTTGTCGTAGCACTGAGGAGAGCAAAGTTGTTGAGAGAAGCGAGACTCGAGAAGAGAATCTGATGAGATTCCGAGTGATTTTCTGTCAAGTCCACATGCTTTGATGCATTGGTCTGTTTCAATCCAGTTCCTCAATCTATCAGCCTCGATTTCGGACGTGCGGCAGGTGTATGCTTCTTCTCCGGTCCTTTTTACGCGCTTCTCGAGCAAGCAACGCTTGCCGGACGATGAGATTGCATAGCCACAGGTGTCTTGGTCAAGATGTTCACATGTTATTTCTCCTGCAATAATAATACCATTATATGATTCAGTAGTTTGTTTAAGAAAATTCAAGAACTTCAAGGTGGGCTGCTATCTAGCTTCAAGCGTTGCTAGAGAAATAAAAAAATCTTTGCTTACCTAGAGTACCTTGCACACAGATGGCAAGGGCCAGAGCCAGGATTGAAAGGATTTTGAAGCTAGAAACCATGATTAAGCACCGTGGTGATTAGAACTAACAGATACTTGGTGCCCAAAAATAGTTAGGCTTCAAAAAGTTGGTAACTTTAATTTGTGAGGAACGAAGAGGAGGGTGTGGGGGCATTTATACTTGTTAAGGGCACTGTCGAATATTGGAAAACAGTGAGAAGAATTTTAAGGTGACACTGTCAATGTTTTTTTTTCTTTTCTTTTTTAATGAAAAATGAAATGATAAGTGGGTTATCTGACTTTTTTTAATAGAAAAATAATATGTCTATATCAACGCTAATTTTTTTATTAAAAAAAAAAAAAACCCATTGCATCTATATGTTAAAGTTTAAGTTTAAGATCTTTCAAAAATATCTACTAGCACATAAATATACTATTCATTGTAAACGGTAATAAATGAGATTTATACTTTTAACGATATAAGTGAATGTTTTTAAATTGAGGTATGCTAGCAATTTTTGACACTTTTTCCTAAATAATTAC